TTTTAAAAAATGGCAAAGTCGAAATTGCCTAAATTCAATTTGCCTAAATGCCTAAATGTCTAAATAATTTCGACTAACAACATTAAATGAATATGCAAAGAATTCTTCGATAAAAAAAAGGTAATGAAGCTTTAATGCTAAATGTATACAAAGCTACAAAGGGATCATGTAAGATTTTCATTCTTTAGACTTTCATCCAATAGGTAGAAAACAAGTGATTTTTTTTTTTTAAATTATAAATCAATCATAAATTGAACTTGGAGAATTCTATGCCAATATCATTATTTTTGTGATGTTGATAAGTTTCATGTGCTAGAACAAAACGAAAAAAATCATGGGTATTTTTAACCATCGAACTCGATAAACAGTAAGATTTATCATAAATTTTAGCAATGTTAGTACGGAGTACCTGAGATAGTGCATGAATACATGCCGTTGCATTTTCAATATGCCAGTAAGTAATCCATAATGAATTTACGATTTACGAATAACTAAAGATTATGCGAATATAGAATTTAAACAATCTACGATATGTCATTACAGCATTACAGTTTAATTTCTATATACTGTAAATATTTGTGATAATATATATATGCGATAGAATAAGGACTTTATCTTTTTTTATATCAATAAAACTGGTCCTGGTAGTTTGATTTCGCAGATAAATATGTCTAATAGAAATAAATTACATAGATGAGGATACCTTTTGGCTGAAGGTTCAATATTCAGAAATTGAACCAAAATTAGGTCTAATGTTTGGATACCGAAATTTTGGTTTAAGATACGATAACTGACTTTTAACCGTATATTAACTAACTCCTAATAAATACCACCTTCATTATCTATAGCAATTCTGATTAAAACGAATAATTATATGGGTTCAACACTATCCATGTCGAATCATAACCAAGTAATACTAATTCGGCCTATTAAATATACTGTACTTAGGAAGACTTGTTCTCTCACGTAATTTCCTTAATATCTTGCTTGAGGAACTACAATTTATAAGTTTTGACACTGCAATAAATCACGGAAAATAAAGAATTTGCAACTGGTATTACATTTGTAGATGCATCGCGGGTCTGTAAATTTGCTGACCTCCTTTTTAATGATGCTTTTTTCTTTTGACAGATTACGAATATTAGGATATTAGGGTAAACATGCATTTACAACAAAGGATCATAGAACAAAATTGTTTTCTTTATAGATGTAATCTTATATGTAATATCTAGCAATTTATAAAATTTAAATATTATTTTAATTCCAAAGTGTAAGACCTAATAACTAGAGCCCCAGCACACAAAACGTTGCCGTTTTTCTAGTAAATATCTGATTATTTAATCTAATAAAATATAACAAGTATTTTATATAGCATAAAAGCTTTAAACTATATTACATTACTTTTGTATTATACTATGTTGTTCGATTGATTTTATAATAATAATTAAACATTCGGATAAAATATACGTAGTATAATGATTTAAAGTAGGTATCATCTATACTATGTTTTATTTAAAAGTTTTTTATAGTTATCTATTATAATTAATATTAATATGTTTCACTCACAATGCTTTTAAAGAATTTGTAATTTTTGCCGTTTTGAAGGATTTGATATATTCTTATCTGCAAATTAAAATAATTGTCAGCCTTTATTCTAATCGTATTTGCAAATTATTATATAAAGAGAATTTACCAACTGAAAGAGTTTCTCCGAATGCTCTTGTCACATACTCAGAATCTTTTTTGTGCATAAATGGTTATTAAAACATATAAAAAAAATCAACATGTTCATTAATTTATTTTTGAAAAATAAATTACCTTCATCCTTTTCATCGATAGTAAGCTTTAGCTGTTGCAGTTGGCCTATAGATTTTGCTATTCTTCTACTAAATTCTAAATGCATTAACATCATAAAATTAAGAAACATCGACTTTCTAAAAATTTAAATTTATTAAAAATAATTAAAATTTCTTACCTGACTCTGATATAGCAAATTTGTTATTTCTACTATACTCTATAACTAAATAATTCAAATGATAAACTTTGGATATTATTTTCCGTATAAACATGCAAGAGAATTACCTTTTTCGTTCGGTGGTTGTGGTAACAATCTACTTATATAAACAGCTTTAGGATGCGACTTAATAACCCTACGTCCTCTAGTATTACCTCTATTTTGCGGTAAATTAATTGCATACTCATCACCTTCCAAACATTCCCAATACTTTTTATTTATCATCAATCTGATATCTAAAATGTCTGGTCGATTTTCAGGCTCATTGTCCCAACATTTTTCCATCAAATCAATATACCATTCTGGAGTTTCCTCAATATTTATAGTTGGTCTTTTTCCCAGGCATATGTCCATGATTAAATGACCATCATGTGGTATATCACAAAATGGAAGTTTTCCAACTAAGACTTCCCACATAATAATTCCAAAACTATAAATGTCCGAAGATTTGGTATAAAAATGTTTTCTACGTAATACCTCTGGCGCTATGTAAGGTAACACGCCATAGATATCCTTATTTTTTGAAGGTTTGTCTATTGGTCTACATAATCCTAAATCAGTCACAAAAGTTCGCATTGTGCCGTCTTTAAATGCATGCAACAATAAATTTCCACTGTGAAGGTCTCGATGTATTAAGTTTGCAGAATGAATTACTTCTAAACCTAATGCTATATCCCTTAAAATTCTTAGTTTTTGACCCCAACTTAATAGGTGGTAATTGTGTGCAAAATAGTGACGTAGATCTCCACCGTTAGCGTATTCCATTACCATCATGTAATTGTTTGATTCTTTATGCTGGGTTATTCCATAACAATGAAGTACACGACCATTGCGACATCGATAATACATCTTTAACTACAAAACAATAAAATATTGTATATCCATTTATTTAATAATATATAATATTAATATTAATTAACTAACAAATGATAACAGAAATTAAATACTTCATCCAAAAAATCTGCGGTAACATTTTCAGAGTTATGTAAACATTTCAAAGCCACTGGTGTTTTAGCTAAAAGTCGCAAACTATAATCTAAGTGACTTGTTTTAATACAATCTTTTCAATGAATTTATTTAGATCATACCTTCTTTTTTCCATTTGCATTTTTCTTCTTCATAAATTAGAACTTTATTTGGTCCATAAATCCAAATTCCATAATAAACTTCACCATATCCACCTTTAGTCAGATATTCTATATCTTCAAACTCACTATAATCAATCCAAACCAAATAATCATATTTCTTTGTGGCATGAAGTTGAGTATCTCTTATGATTTTGTCTAAATATGAATTTCCGCTTGTCCAATTATTAAAATTCTTTGAAAATTTTTGAGATTCGCAGAAATTACACCATCGATCGTTTGTTCTAGGACGCGAACATTCTGGGCATAAGTAATCTACATCGAATTCTTCTTCACTATCGTCGAATTCATCATCACTAAATTCATCTGAGGTGAACTTGACGCTTGAATCGGAGGTATATGAAGTTATTGAAGATTGGGTTAAATTTGAAAGTAATGCACTTGACCTCTCTGATGATGAAGATGTTACGGATGGAGTTGAATTCATGTTTAATATATTTCAGTCAATGAATTCACAATATACGATTTTTTAAACATTTTTTTTACGCATTGAACACTTATTATATACGTACTATTATATATGTACGTACGTACGTACGTACGTACATACACCACTATACACTTTGTGTACATATCTTAAATTAGAAGGTGGCAAACCTAAAATCCCAATTATGGCCAATATATATAATCCGGAATTAGAGGTCAAACTATTTAAGAATTTAGTTAAAAAACCACATACTGTATATTTATTATAGGATTTATAAAAGTTTTTCCTTCGAATTGTTAAAATTAAACTTTAGAATTTAAAATCAGAGCTTAGGTTAAAGTCAGAGATTATGGTTTTCTAAGTGCTAAACATTTTTACTTAGCACACAGAATACCAATTATTAAAGCCGTTGCTGTGAAATATTTTACGCCGAATGATTTTTCGGCCGATTCGATTAGGTTTATAGTTTCAGCATAATAGATTCAAACTAATATGCATAATTTAAGGTCTGGTAACTAATGTAATATTACAAAACCATTGCCTGTTACGTACAGTACGTACTGTACGTACATATCAGATATGTCTCTGGTTGAATACAAAAATATGACACTTTCAAAACATCTTCACTGGTAAATCATCGAAAAAATTTAGGATTCTCAAGAACTTTCAAAAATATGGATCCAAACACTCAGGTGCTGTATATTTTCTATAAGTCAGATTCTCGAGCACTTTCAAAAATCTGGATGTAATATGTTTATTATAAGAGTCTAATTTATGTCTTGTCATTTTGCTAATATTTATTAGTTGACAAGAACAGTCTTTCCATAAATTTTCGTACAAACTAAACACACCAAACACGTTTGACAAGCATTCTGACGAAATTTTAATAATGTTAACATTACCGTTATAATGATCTGTAAACCAATAACTACTAAAATAACATGCGAATCATGCCAAAATCACAAACTTATCCGAAGCATCCGAAAAATGATTCGTCTAATTTTATTTGGAACAGCTGTAAAAATGCACGATCGGGCGTAAAATAAACATGCACAAACATTTCTGTTGCATTACACGTTAATCGGAGTTGTAAATACCATGGTATCACAGCTAGCGATGGGACCCAAATATAGTAGTTTGGTAACATGCCGTATTGGGGTATTTCAAATACTAATTAGGGGGACGTCTAAAGCCGTGTCCAGTCACGTGTTTTTATGTTTTAATTAAAGTTAGGGAATTAAAGTTAGGGTAAGGGTTAGTTTGGGGTTAGGGTCAGGACATGTCGTATAGTAAAATTGTCCTCCCGACATTTTTTATTAATGCACCAAGATGAGTTTAGACTATCGTTTCTTGTATTTTTTG